CCGACTAGAGCAGTGTGAAGCTTGGGCTTAAACCCAAGTCGGATGCAGAACAAGGAGTAACACAACATAATAGGAGCTAAACTAATGTCTCAAGTGGTCGAACATGCATTCCAACCACTATCCCTACTATATATTTAGAATCCCCCATAACCCCCCCTCCCCCCCCCTCCTTAAGGAACATATACTTTGGGCTTTCACCCCAAGCCTCCCTTAATATTAGGAGTTAGTCTCTAGGACAAACTTGAAACTTATTAAATATGGAATGTCTCTAGATTGTGAATTTGGACACATGACGAACACCATTGTGTTTAAACTAATCTCTACATTCTATAAATATGCCAAATGAGAAAATCTAGACACTTTTCATAAATAGCATTTAGGACCAAAATGAGACTAGCATAAAAAGCATGATAGCAAGGGTGTTTAGCAAACATGGTAAATTATCATTTGACGATATTAAGGGACTAGTCTCAATACGCAAGGGTTTTTGCCAAGCTAGTGCAAGACAAAACAAAAGAGAATTAACAAGCTGGGCCAAATAAATTTATACTTTGGCTAAATAAACACTTAGGAATTCCTTCCTTATGCTCATCCAACCAAGTATAGATGCTAAGTCTAATTTACTAACACTTAGACAAGAGGAGCTAATAAAGGGAACCAATAGTATTGACCTCCTGCTGTCGTGGCAGTAAGAAAAGAGTGTCCATAAGGACTAGTTGACAAGTATCTTTCGATAACCAAAGTCACATTCACGACAATAGTAAACTTTATGCCAAGAGGAGGAAATGTGAATTTGCAATATTAAAGATGGAATATCTAGGCCATATTGTAATATTTAAGGGTGTCAAGATGGATCTAAAGAAGGTATTTATGGTGGAGAACTAGCCTACACCAACTTTAGTGGCCAAATTATGTAGCTTCCTTGGTATAGCTAGTTACTAAGAATGTTTCTAGTACAAGTTTGCGGAGATAGCTATTCGTTTGATATAATTATTGCAAAAAAATGTACCATTTGAGTGGAAAAAGCCATATAAAGAGAGTTTTGTGGCATTGAAATAGTTATTGAGCATAGCTCCAATGCTTCGCATTGCTAATCCATCAAAACTTTATAAGGTGACATGTGATGTGAGTGGTTATGCATTGAGTTCTTATGCAAGAGGGATAACTTATTGTATATAAGAGTTGAACTTTGAATTCTGTAGAACAACACTATTCCACATATGAGCAAGAGTTACTCTCCATTGTTCATGCTTTGCGGACGTGGCAACACTATCTTTTATGGTGCAGTTGTAAGCAACCAAAGGGAACGACTCGAGAGACAATCCGTTGGGGTTCAAATATAGAGGGAAAAGGCCCATGAATAAGAGTGCACCCCCTTTTCCAATCGGTTAAGGGTCTTGGGATATTTGGAGTTAAGCGTCCTTGGGTTCCAAGCCCCTAGGAAGGGCGAAGACCAATGAGCCACAAGGTACTCAAGTGGGGCACCACTCCACATGAGCCGGGAGCACCGCAGTCGGTTTCCCTTTCGGGAGTGGGAGCTGCTCTTGAGCACTTCCCTGGGTGGCCCCTCCGGCACTACTCAAGCCCATGCTCACTCCCACCCAAGGCCCCTCGGCCCCAGTCTCAACCTCAAGTCAGTTTGAAAACACCACTGGAGAGTTCCTTCAAGACTGGTTCCTGGACCTCACTATCCCTACTATACTTTTGGAACCCCCTGCAGCCCCCCCCCCCCCTGGGAGACGCACGCTTTGGGCTTTCACCCCTTGACCCGTATTAGTATTTGGACTTAGTCTCTGGCTCGATCTTGGACCCGATTTCGGATCCAACTTCGGATTCGGTCTCGGACTCGATCTCAGACCTGATCTCGGACCCGACCTCGGACTCGACCTTGGACTCGGTCTCGGACCCGATTTCGGATCTCGGACTCCGTCTCGAACTTGGTCTCGAACTTAGACTCGAACTCGGTCCCCGAGTCGGTCTCGGACTCGATTCCGGACTCTATCTCGAACTCAGTCCTAGAGTCGGTCTTGGACTCGATCTTCAACTTGGTCCCATCCAATAACCTCTTTGTCATTTTGGTCATGCTTTTGGGGTTCCTTTAGCCTACGACACCTCGGCGAGTTAGTTTCTTACACATAAATGAAAACTAGCCTCAAACTCATCCATTGTAGACATTGGTGGTTTTCTTATTCGCAACACAAAGCTCCTTAAGTTAATTTCACCATTGAAGTGTAAACTCTTGAATTTGGACTTCTCAAGAGGTCAACCAACTAAGTATTATTCAAACCCAAGAATACTTAACCATAAGTATCTCAAAACCTTTAATTGATTTAAAGAAGGGGTTCATAGGCCTTTTTCTTTTATATTTTAACCCTTATAGATCATCTCGAGTTATTCCTTTTTGCTATTTACAATCCATCATACTTCCCTACAAGTTCATGCCCTTGTGAACGGAAGCTAAGAGCCTAGCCTCCTTTAGTACCAGGAGTTAGTATCTAGGACAAGCATAAAACTTACTAAATATACTTCTAGATTGCGAATCTAGAAGTAGGAACAACACTATAGGGTTTAGGACACTCTCTATATTCCATAGATATCTCTCTTGGGTGGATCTAGACACTTACTATAAATAGCATATGGTTTCGGAATAGAACCAATATATGGGGTATGATAGTGAGGGTGTTTAGTAAATACGGTAAGCTATCATGTAGCAATATTGAAGGATTAGACTCAATACTCACTATCTTGCCAAGCCAATACAAGATAGAGCAAAAGAGAACTAAAAGCCAAGTTAAGAATATTTAGCTAGAAACACATAGGAGTTCCTATTTTGTGTTCATTTAGCTAAGTACAAATGCTAAGCCTAATTAACTAAAACTTGGACAAGAGGGGCTACTGAAGGGAATTAGTAATACTGATCTCCTACTATCATGGTAATAAGAAAAGAGTGTCTGTAAAGACTGGCCGACAAATATCTTTCAATACCCAAAGTTATATTTGCGACACAACCACCCCTAAGTTACCTCAAAAGCTCCACTATGAGCCCTAGGATAGGTTAAGTTCCTTACCCTAACATACCTTAATATACTCCTTTTGATTGATGTTGACTACGCTGTCAAAGTTAGTGCCTAAAAAGTATAAGCATGTGAATCTCATTTTGGAGGCATTAGAAGGAAGCTGAAGTCAAAGGTCAAGAAGTGCTTATTTTTCACTAACAAAGTAGAGTATCTTGGATATTTGGTCACAAGCAATGGCATCATCTTGGCACTACCTGTATAGATGGCATTTTATGATTGAAGTAGACCACTTATCTCTTAAGTGGTTACTAAATACCCATGAGGCTATAGGGCACTTGGCAAGATGTATACATTTGATAAAGGAAATACACTATTGAATGCACTCACAAGAATATATATGACATGCCACCAGTTGAACTTCAAGCTTGATGTTGCTTAGTATTGCTCCTCCTTGTAAAGCAAGCTACTTTATCTGTAACCAAACTAGTATCAGTGTACATGTTCCTTGTTACTACTATCATCAACCATGGTTGACACCTGCAACAACATTTCACGGTAGGCATGAAGCTGATGCCAAATCCAGAAAAGCTTGACTTTGCAAAGCATGAGAAGCTGAGCACCAACCACTCAATAGAAACATGCCACACAAACCTGTTATAGTTGTACAGTATGAGTGAGAGTCTAGCCATAACAAGATGCCCAAAGACGAAGTTCCAAACCTTTGTTGGCTGTTCAAAAATCAGATTCTTTTTATCCCAACAGCTCATACATTTCAAGAAGTTGAACCACTCATCTGCACAACGAAAAGAAAAAAGAAAAAGAAAGTTCGGCATTTAGAAATAAGAAACCTAGAAATATCTTTTTGAGGTAAAACATAATTGAAACTCTACTCATTTTTGTTAAGGAGCTCTGTTTGGTGTACAAAACAGATTCACAATATTATAACTTACTTCACATCACTTGTGAAATCTGGAAGTAAGTTTTGAAAGAAAAAATTAAAATTTCAAGAAACTTGATGAGAGCATTGCATTGTTATAAAGAGAGAGTTACTGAAAAAGGAAATACATTACTTAACATGAAATAAACTCTTTATTACTTAATGCAATGTGTCCTTGTTTCAATTGAGGGAATAAATCAGAGTTTGGTAGAATTATAGATTCAACAAAAGGAAGGGTTTCTCTGTGGCATTAAATAATTTTGAAGACATTTGTGCTTTGGAAAATTGTGCACTACAACATCATGTAGATTTTGTAGAGCTGGTACTACCTAAAAACTAAAAAATAAGCACAGAAATATCTTTTATATCATCTTAAGTCAGCCTTTTCAACAATATTAATACCCAAAAAAAATGTATTCTTTCTAAAAACAATTATATAGTAAAAGTATTATCTATATGTATTTACTTTCATCACCATCTAAGTTTTCTACCACAATAGTGTAATCACTATGGAAGACAAAAGTTATGCTATAACTTTACAAAAATTATAAAAATATCATTGTTACAAATTACTAAAATTAGTATTATATATTTAGTAAAATTAGATAGTTGAGAGTTTTAGCTATTATCAATAAAAATATATTAAGTCTAATAAAATTTTGTATATGTTTTTATCAGTTTTTACCACTTTCAAAATATTTCGACCACTATTTATAACATTCTTGATATTTTTTGTAAAAGTTAGAACAATTGTTACATTGGAAAGTTTTTTATAAAGGCAACCACTAATTAAGATAGAAATTTTATGGTCCTAAGCCTTGATATATTTATACAAATTAAAGGTTTAATTTTTTTATTGAGCTGGCAAAATTAACAATTTGTTTTTTGTTTGTCAAATTCATTTTTAGAGAAATCATTAATTTTAAACTCTGCAAGAACTTTGAATACATCACAATTATTAAAATAATATATTTCACCCTCAATAGGATTAATCAATGGGGATTATTAGCACAATTTTTGAACCCTGGATCTGTCAAACAGAAGAATTCTTAAAAAACAAAGGGACTTCCTCATTCCCCCTTAAATCTTTAATCTCAACCAACCACGTTATGTGGAATGTTGAAACAATGTATTTCACAACACGACGTTGTACGCAAATGGCGCACCAAAAAACAAAGGAACATTCTTTCATTTTTTTCCTTCCTCTTCAACGCAGGAGAATTCGTATATCATAGTGTAGAGAAGCTTGATCCTTCCCAGCCAAGACGGAGCATTTGATCCACCACTCTAATGCTTAACTGTCAAAAAAAGGAAGCACGGGAGAAAAGAAGTTACTCTAAGATCACAGTTCTAGCGAAACAAACGAGTTTAAGTGATGGTCCTTACAGCGGGATCCGTGAATACAAGGAGCTGTCCGTTGGCAGTAGAAGCCACGAGATTTGTGTTGTCTCTGTTCAAAGCCATGGCAGTCACGTCTTCGCCGTCTTGGAGCCTCAAAGTGTGAATCACCTGCAAAACAAGAGCTTAGTATTGACAAAGAAGAGCTCGCTAAGAGTGTTTTCTGGTACCTGGAGCGTGTAAATGTCGAGAAGTGAGATAGATGGGAGCGCCTTGGGTGTTAAGTCGGGAACTTCATCGTCGGGAACTCGCGGACGATGATGCAACTCAAAACCTTGCTGCTCGTGAAGCTTCTTGGACGTGAAACCGACGATAATGTGGCGACCATCCGACGACGTCACGATGGAACTTACATCACCTTCAAAACCTCTGGTAGCTACTTGAATCCCGTTGAGCGTCACCGTTTGGAGTCTACTGCTTCCCCTGTCCCAGACCACTACAATCCCCTCCGTGGACAAAGCTAGGATGTCCGCTCTATCTATGTCTAGCCGCCGAATAAATCTACCCTTCGCTACCGAGTGAAGAAGAACACCCCTCCCTGGAGATGCAGAAACTACAATATCCTGGCTGCCGTCGATACAGCAAACGCTGAGCTCGTCAACATGTCCTCGCAAAACACACAGAGGCCCTTCCACCCGTCTCTTCTTCATGTCCACAGTGCCTAAATCCCCGCTTGCCATTGTTGAAGGATCACTTGAACCGCTGGTGCTAGCAAACGAGTTGCTATGCACTCTCCAGATGATTGCTGTAGCGTCTTGAGACCCTGTCACCATTGTCCTTCCATCCGGAGACAATCCAACGCAAGTGATCGGCCTTGAGTGACCAACTGCGCTTTCAATGACTCGGGCATTGTTAGTAGCCACTACTTTCAAGCTGTTGTCGGCGTGTCCACCTGGAGCCAAAAAAAAAAAAAAAGAAAAGAAAAGAAAAGAAAAGAAAAAACGTAAGAAAAAAAGAAGTGATGTCAATACTATAGTACCTGTAAACAATAGCCTTCCGTTGGAAGATATTGCCACAGCCGCATCACTCCTGATGCCATGCGCTTGCAACGCAATAACCCTTGGAAAATGACTTTCTTCAGTGCCAACTACGGGCTGTCCTCTAAACATGCGCATCAGAGATCCTCCGTTAGAGCCCGCAGCAGACTTCGAATGCTGGAATAAGAACGGAGACCCTTGGCCATCTGGGGTGTTTGGTTGCCATCTATGCATTGCAACATGGCAGGCTGGTACGTTTAAGTCTACTGTCACGATGGAGTCACTAGCAGCAAGAAGTTTTGCAGCAGGGACGTTGCACCGTTCTGGAGAAGGTATGGAGTAACTCACAGTTGAACTGGGATTTCTGAATATGGTCTGCAATCAGAAGTTCGTAAGTTATACCATCATCATCAAGAATAATAAGCATACAAACCTGCAAATGTAGCACGTCATGTAGAGGTAGTCTCTTTATGTGTGGGATTGTCAAAAGCTGAGATGGGGTTTGTCCAAAGTACGCTATTTGGTCCTGAGTCGCTTTTCGAATGGCCTGAAAGAAAACAAAGCGATTAGTGCTCGTCATATCCCAAACAATTATTTTTCAGATTACTGACAGGATCAGTGATCTTATCTACATCCACGGATCCCTCGTACGTCATGTAAAAGAAGACATTCTGAGCAGCCACGGCATCTCTCCCTCGTTGCTTGTAACTGTTCAGAGAAAGAGCCAATTTCTTTTGTCATGAAAAGAAAAAACGTACCCGAAAATAAGGTCGATCCATTCGTGAAGATGAGCAGACACATACTCGCTTTCAAGTGCTGTTCTGTGCTTCTGTACAAAATCTATGGGAGAGCCTGCCCATGGTGGAAGCTTGACATTTCCTGAAATAAGAGGATAACCGCGAATTAAAAACTAAATGTATCATTACTTGTATACCTATTTGCTCTCCCAGCTGCGTCCGTCCTAGATCAAAACCACCATCGTTTGTGAGAATTTCGGGCATATAAAAAAGTTCGGGCACCTGAAAAAATGTATGGTTCAGAAAACACACCAAAAAGATAGACCGTACCAGTTCTTTTACATCGCTCATGTCTTCCAAAACTCCATTCCACGTAGAGCCAATGTCGCTGAACATTCTATCCGCATGATCAAACTTGCCCCCCTGAAGTTGTATTGCAAGTGTTGCAAAAGGTTCAATCCTTGTCAGATAATAGAGAACCTGTAATTACAAACTCAGACGTTGTATCAAAATCAGCTGATATTAAGACTTACCGTCCCCGAGCTAGAATAGTGCGAACCATAATGGAACTTCGGAATAACAGGGTCGTCGAAACTATGGTATCGTTCCATAATTTTCTCGAGTCGAGATGGGTTGAGAGCACCGACAGGCTATACCACGATGTTATTCGAATAATACTTAGTCGACAGAAGTGAAATACCTTAGATAGATCTCGATAGACATTTGGATCGTCAAGATTTAGCTTTTTAGATGTGTAATCAGAAAGAATCCACGGAAACACCGGATACTAAGAAACAAACATACGTCAATGTACGTGACAAAGAAAATCGTACCTGAGTGATGTCATTATACGTCCTTCCCGCAAGTGTATTTAACCGCATCAAATATTCGAAGTTACTGATCTGGAAACAAACTAATATGTTTATTGAAGAAATAACCAAACACCTCACTCACTTGCCGATTTGCCCACTGCTCCATGAGTTGTGTTCTTTTCAAAAGCCGCTCGGGCCTCTACCCGGAATAGAAAGTGACTAAGTTAGAAAACAAGTTTCTCTCGATACGAAAGAGCAAAAATTAGAAAAGTCGCCACCTGAGTCGCGGCATAGATGGTGTTGAGGTGAGGGGGCCGAGCTTGAACAAGAGCCCTGTAAACCTGACTCTTCTGGTCTGCACTCTAGAGAACACAAAAAGGCGACTGTATAATTGTTCGAACTGAAGAAACAATACCTCAAAATCAAAAAAATGGTTCGACATGTCCAGCATAAACAACTCCAGTGCACTTTTTCGAAGCAAATATCTGCATATATCTAAGTGAATAACTACCCAGATAATCTAGAGTAAGACTAACCTTCGACTATGAACTTCTTTCAAAGAAGAAATATGCCAGACCTTAGTTCCTCCAGGAAGCGAACACGAATCAACAATGTCCTGATTCCAATCCGTGACAAAGTATATGTGACTTGTTGTAACCTGGTCAGCAACTCAACTAAGTAGAGACAAGCAAAACCGCGCCAAAACTCATACCTGAAACATGCCTTTCCCGGTCTTTAATGGTTGAACCAACACGGCTGAAACTTCCAGCAACAAGCGTTCTTTGGACTGAGGAGTGACCGGTATAGAGTGTCCAGGCGACGCGAGGGGAAAGTCTGTTGATGCAGCCATTTGCTCGTACTCGTGTTGTTTAGATGGAGAGTGATTTTCCCTCTTGAAATCTACATCGTCCACGTCACTTCTTGCAAGGTCGTCTTCCGTGCCTTCATCAGTGGTCTCGGGCACAAGCGCCGGTGCTCCAGCCGTCAAAAGAGAATCTGGCAAAGGAGCAGAGTCTCTAGTACGTGTTTCCTCTGGTTCACGGTAATCTGCTGCCGCACCATGATGATCTGAACCTTTGTAGTTTATCTTCAGTCTCTTCCTCATCCTTAGAGAGTTTTCAACCGGATCAAGTTTCCAAAACGTCTACGTAAACAACTAATGCAGTTAAGAAAATCAACAAAATATCAGCGAAGTAGCTTACCCGAGGACAATTTAATTGACTCAACAATGGTCCAAAGAGCGCTTCAATCTCAAGCAGTCGCCGAAGTAAAGAACGCCAAGCTCGCAGACCAATGCCTAACCGAAAAGCATCCGACGCGATCACCGTCAATCGTCTTTCTACCTGTTTAACAGTGTTAGAATACTTGTCGGAGTTTTAGAAATACGAACCTCGAGAGAACGTAATCTCTTTGTTGTCAACACAATAGCTGACAAAGAAGCTAATGTTTTGTTTTTTAGTTCTTTCGTTTGTCCGGATTCTCCGCCCAAAGAGAAGAACTCCTGCCAAGCTGCACTCATTGCATCTAGCAGATTCCATCTTTGAACTCTTTCACGATCGGTAGAAGATCTTCTTTGAGATGACGTTGCCATAGCTACTGCGCCTAAACCACGACCTGATCCAATCTTCGCAGCTCTTTCTTGATCTCTAGCTGCCGCTGAAGCTGCCGCTTTGGCACCCGCTTTGTCTTTCGGTTCAGGAGAAGCTATAACTGGTGGTTCAGCTGGCGCCGACTTTTGGAAACCAGAAAAGGTACGAAATCTCAGAAACTTGCGTTCCACATTTGCGACTTCCCGCTTCACATGAAAACCTTTTGGAGCTGATGCTTCACCCCCACCAACGCCAGCTGCCGCCATTGCCAATGCCATTGAGACAGGGGGGGACGCAAATGCAGCTGCCCAAGATGGTGATATCATAGCAAGAGCAGCCTGTGAAACAAAAAACCATGTAAGAATCGCTAGTAAATCAATAACAACCCACCTCTGAAGGTACAACATCCGTTGCCAGAGGTCGATCCTCAACAGTAAGAGGAGACAGACCATCCGCGTCCGTCAACTCATGAACGCCAGATAGCATAGGTCTCCATCTCCGTAAAAGTGCTGTAAAAGGTGGCAAAATTGCTTCGACATACTGTCTTCTCAGGATCTTTCTATCGGCACTTACAGCATGCCAAACCTACACAACGCAGTCTTGTCAAGCATTTACGTTAGAAAGAAAAGCAAAAATGCAAACCTCTGAGTAAAAAATACATGCAGCAACCAGAACCCGTTGCCTTCTGGCTTCTGACAAGGGCATCGTCAGGAAAGGAGAGATAACACTGCAATGCACAGGATAGAAATCAGCTGCAAAGTTAACAGAAAAATAAAGACAATTTTACGTACCACCATAGCAAAGCAGATCTTGTTCTTACCGACGATCCATGAGTCTCAAAATTTTGTTCATAAGAGCTTTCCTCTTGCACTTCCTCCGTGTACTCTTCCCGCATAGATAAGAGAACCATTCTAAGCATCGCGTAGAAAGGTTGATCGCTATCTAAAAGCTGGTTCAAGGCATGAACACCTCCAGCTCCAGTTCCTGCACCCCCTCCAAAGCCAACTCCTCCCGATCCTCCAGGGCCTGAGTCGTCGAGTAGCAAGGACTTCAGCATAACGATGCATTTCTTGACCAGTTCAAAATCCACCCATTCTCCGTTGGCGTCTTTCTCCAGAGCAGAACTCCATGATTCCCAGCCACCACCACCTCCTCCACAAGTACCTTTGGATGGAAGACCAACCCCATACCACATGCGGCTTCTCGACTTCCACCCTTCAGCAAGCTCTACTCCGCAGCTACCGTAAGAGGCGAAGGCACATCTGACGGACTCGTAAGGCTCCGCAGCTGCAGAGGCTGTCAACCGTTCAATAGCACTAACCGAAACCTGTCCATTTGAATCAGCCATGGAAGTGAATGCCTACAATGCAAATGACGCATAATAAGCCATAGAATTTGATTGTCGATAACAACTCACCTCGATGGGAAGCCCAGAATCGCTTCCAGATGAATACCTTCGAGAGCCTAAGTTTTCTCCGCCATCGAAGCTGGATCTCCCGAAAGACATAAAAGACGAAACATTCTGCCCTCTCGGAGACATCGAGCCAACGCTGAGGGAACCGGTTGAAATACCAGAATTGAAAGCCTGATGTTGCAAACGTAGATGGTCCTCCACAAGCATCAACAGCACGAGCGAGTTCTCCGCTAAAGACATGGACAGATGAGCAGCTGCTTCCGCTTCCACCTTTGCGGCTCTTGGGGACAAACCACCTGCGGCTACACCGGCTGCTGCAGCTGCCACTGCATGCGTCTACGAAAGACGATCTTTAAGACAACCATTCTTGAAGTATGGAGAGGCGAACCTGCTTTTGGAGCTCCCGCCCAGCAAAATCTAGTAGGTTTCCAAGTAATCTCCGTTTGATGACAGGAAGAGACTCCTCGCGCCTGCATTGAAAATCGGAAAGGTCAAAAGACATACTTCCAAGTCGACTCGTACCTTAACCGCTGCTCTCCCATACTTGGACCGCCAAATATTGCAAGCCATTCTGCACAATGAATAGCAGCTTCAATATCCTACAAAATGAATACATGTTAAACAAAACACTAGATGAAAGAGACAGTTACCATCCATCCGTCTTTAGAACGCATTGAATGCTCCAATATTATAGTCAGGAAGCTGTAGATGAGCTCCTCGAGATCCTGAAAACTCGTGAGTCCTTCTTGCAATTGCCGCAGTCCCACCTAGAAGTAAAGTTTGAAGCACGATTGAACGGCTGGTCAAAAGAACCCACCTCATAGTTTGCTATCAATATTTCCAGTAGCCATTCTGGCCATTCTGGCATAGCGGTCAGCCTCGTTCTGTTATCAGCGTGAGTGCATGCTAGTAAGAGGATGTCCTGATATTTCATCTTTAGTGACGACGTTCATCTAGAGAGCGCCACGTACCTGGAGAGCACGAAGCTGGATTTCTCGTGGTGCTGAAGGAAGAGCACGAAGCAGAGACAGAAAAAGCTGTCTGTGTTCAAATCGATGAACGGTATCAAAAATTGCCAAACCATCATCCGTAGACGACATTCCTCCCTGGAAAAAGTACAAGCCTTAGTTCACAGACATCGTTGATAAAAAATAAAAAATTAGTTTACCTCGGACCTCACAACAACTGATAAGACGGCAGAATACACGTTACGAGTGAGCAGACGCTTAGGAGCAACCTGGAACGCCCGCTGCAACGCATATAAAAGCCAGGACGCAAGTCCAGGTGACTCAACAGCTCCAGAGCCAGCGACAGTATTTCCTATGGTACTCTTGAGATGGCCCCCAACGAGAAGTGCCCCTAGCAGTCCAACTATCCCGAGCATCATGCCATCTCCCTTATCCACGTTTCGGAAGTTGTTCCTAGCAGCATCTGCACTGATTGATAATGTGATACCTCCGACGTTCTTGTGTCCCACCGGTTTTTGAGAAAGAACTGGAGCCTCAGAATCAGAACTTGTCCTCGTTATATCACCTTCGGGCACTTCTTCAAATTCTTCACCCTCTTCTTCCTCGTCCAGTTCTCGCAAATTTAGGCCCTCGGAATTTTCACCTATCTCGGATTCTCTTTGTATGAGCGTCAAGAGCATCTCAACCACTCCATTTTTCATCAGCAAATCCGCGAAGGTCGCAGCACGAGCAGCATTTGGCTGTACAACAAGTCTATACAATAAATGCAAAACTCGCGCGACCTGCCAAGCACAAACACGCAGGTAAATTCGCAAGACAAAGCTAATGACGAAAATGTTTTTACCTGGTTGGGCTGTGGGCAGTCAAGAACAAATTGTACCAAGCAGCGAACATCAGACGCTGCAATAGGTCCCTGAGCCGATCCAGTTAAAAGCTCCACAATCACCAGAAGCTCGTCGACGAGAGCATTGATTTCTCCCAAAGGCCTAGTATTTTTGCCACCCGCAAATGAATGCACCGAGTGCGGCTCCGGAACAATCCAGTAACAAGATCTACAACCGTCCAGCAGCATTTGAACTGCATTTGCAGCTCTCATTGTCTTCTCCTCGGTGAAAACCATATCTGCAAGTGATGATAGCAGCTTCTTTTGCAAGCCGTAACTGCACCTGCTCCAAAGCTTCAGATCGAGAAGCAAGCTACTGTATAGCTGCACTTCCAAGGTAGCATTCCCCTTAGGTGCCTGACAAAGGGACACCACGGCGGCCACAAGCTCTTCGTCTCTTTCCTGTCCGTCCACTGACTTCGAAATTGATGAGATAACCAGAAGGTGGCCCAAAAGATGTGCAAGTAGTTCTGGTGCGTGGCCTCTTGTCATCTCGTCCGCGTTGCCTGGGTACTTGAGAGCAGTAGCCAATATACGCAAGATCGGCCCCGATAGAAATGATGATCTTACGGAGAGAGTGATATCACCAGCATTTGGCTGCAACGTTTCCTTGTTGACGCTTCCAACCACAAGGGGGAGTAGCGCTAGAGGACCTCCTTCACCCATCGCCCAGACAGCTTCCATGGGCTTCACGCGAGAAGCAACGTGGACATGGCCAAGAACCTCAGCCGGCCTTCTGTGCAAACCTGGAGCAAAAAATCATTAGTAAACTTGTCAGCAAGCAAAACTAACTACGAACCTGACGATCCCGCAGGAGAAATATCTATGCACGACCTCCCGATCAGCAGCTGAGGATGGTACAGTAAATGAATCTTCGGCCCGATTTCAATGTCCAGTGCTACACTTTCTTCCGCCAAGGCCCTCGATTCCTCGGATATAGCAAGCCAAGGTAGTCCAGCACCATTCCCGAATGTAGGAACGACATCACCACCCCTTGCTGCCAACCGGTTCATCTTGTCCTGACCAATTGGTTCTTTGAAAATGTAGATCGGTCCGACCTCCGCAAACAAAGGACACTGACGCCGCCTTCTCTGAAGTCCAGCCATTGCCGGTGGAGGATTTGTGCCGATGCAGCAAAACGCTAGCGGCTTGGACACGCGCGGAAAATCAAAAGGACGTGCTTCGTAGAGCCTGCCGTCAACGTAGAGCTTCACTTCGCTGTCTCCCTTTCCAATCAGACTCTGTTTGAAGATATGCTCCAGGCCCACGAAGTACCACCTCCGCGGCTTGAACGCATAGGTGAAGTGAAGAGACGACTTCTTTCCTTTGGCCACGGCACTCTCGACCACGAGAAACTGCCCGTGGAAGTACGCTTCAACTCCCTGGTTGTCTGCTGACAGAAAGCTGAAAAGCCGAGGCATATGTGCAGTTCCTTCCCCCGCTAGAGCACTTGCTGCGGCTGCTGCTGACATCGCTGACGACTTCCCCGTCTTCGCGGCCGCAGCGACAGCAATGGCAGCAGCAGTCGTCGCAGTGTTGAGTGTGTCCGCAAAACTTTCGATATAAAGCCAGGTAGCAAACGCATAACCGTTGCCAAATGGCCACTTGCTGTCTCCAGGGCCGAGTAATCCAGAACTCTCTCCATCGAACTCGAAAGTGTAGGCAGGACCTCTCGTTTCTTCTCCCGCCATTGTCTTCTCCAATGCGAGAACAAGATCAAGCGACTGTCCAGTCTCCGTTACCGTGAAGAGCCAGTGACGGAGGTCCACTACTGTCAAACAGTGAGATCCCAGTGCCTGGATAGCATCTAGCAAAGGACTAGCATCCCACTCGTGACCTTGTTCTTCAGCAGCTGCCTTTCGAGCGAAAAGTATTCGTGCCGCTTCTAGGAGAACTCTGAGCAGCCCGGCCGCCGAACACATCGCTCTGTTCCGCGTGCATGCCTGAAGAGTCATAGTGATGCCTTTGGCGATTCTCGTTCTCGGCGACACGAAAATCCCAGTATCTCCCTCTGACGAAAGCCAAGGAATAAGCTCTCCGGCCACGATCGCAGCCCCGGCACTCAGCATCATCTTTGGCGCAGCAGTGTCGTCCAGAGCTTCAATGCCACCCATCTTTGCAAGAAGAATCTCCACCACCAGCCTCGCACGAGTATCATTGTCAACTTTGCCGTCGCCACCTTCTATACTCTCTTCACCAGCCACCACCCTCTTGAGCTTGTGCAAGCTTTTCTGGTCGGCGTCGGCGCCCTGGATCGCCGAATCAATGAGGCGCATGAGCTCTGGAGACGCGTCGGGAAGAACAGCCTTTCCCCGCGAGTGGAGAGGAGACCCCAGCGACGAGCTCTTGGGACTGGCATTCCCCGAGTTTAAAACGGTGATGCTACTCACCGAGTCACGGGCCGAGGAAAAACCACTGGGAGTACCGACGTTGTCGTTCAAGCTCACCTCGTCAAACTGATCCTCGAGCTTCACCACCGACGAGGACCCAGGCGAATTCCCTGCGGTGGACTCATCAACCTCTTCTATCTCCCCGCCGCCATCTTCTCTTCTCGACGACATAACTAGATCGTGGAACCCATTCCCGTCGATCTTCCCCTCTACAATGCCGCCACTCCTATCGAACAGATTTACATTGTCGAAATCTTCCCCTGGCAATTCCTCTGCATGCCCGCCATCGCCAGATCTAGCGCGCAGCTCGACCGCCGCCGGATTCCGCTCCAATTTCGATCCATCGCTGTGCTCCAAATAACTGGCGCCTCTATCTACATCGTCCCCCGCATCTCGAAAGTCCAGATCGCCGCTCGGATCGCGGCCTTCCATTCCCTGGCGCTGACGAATCCGGGGGAGGGAAAGAAGCTATACACCCGATGCGTGCCAGATCTAAGCTTGACGAAGAAATTCCTCCCCTCCTCCGCGGGGCGAATCAATCCGGAATTTATTTTCTTTACCTCCTCCAGCAGCTGGACGCGCCCGGTCGCGCGCGCATCCCCAGCGCCCTCCAAATGCGACTCAGCTCATCCCTCCCATAAACCCTAACCCTAGGCCAAGCTCGTGGTAACGCGGTGTGGCCATACATTCCCTCTTGTACGGAACACATGCACACAAAAGAAGAGCTCTGAGCCTCGCTAGGGTTTAACCAAGAAAGCATATTCTAAGGCGTGACGAATATTCCATCTGGGCAACAAAGGGTTGAAAAGAATGGGAAATTTTAGGGCAAGGGAGGGCGAGCCATGGAGGCTGCCAGCGGCGACGATGTCGCGGTGTACGAGCGCGACGTCTCCGCCTCGTCGACGGTGCGATTCCCGGCGCGGCGGCCTCAATCAGCGGAGCTAAAGATGAGCTCAGGCAGTGACGAGAACGCCAGTAGCGCCACCAAGCTATGGCAGGTCAGATCACTCCTCTTTCTCTCCTCTTTCTCTCGTAGCTAGGCCAGCCAGTGGCACTGCGGCATTCATTCATCCGTCCATCCTCGGATTCCTCCGAAAATCCGTTGGAAGAGAGAAATTTCTCGCCAGTCCTCTGTTCTTCGCGTGTGAGAGGAGTAAGTAGTACGAACGAGAGGCTTTCTCGATGCTGGAGCCCGTACCTCCATCATCCAAGAGAGAAAACTAAGCATCAGTACTGTGCGTCGAGAGCATGAGAGCTATCATCTCTCACATAATCCTTTGAGAGCAATCATCCCTCCCATAATCCATTCTCGAGTCGCGTGAGCGTCCCCATAGAATTCTTTCGTCCCATACTTCTCGCGCTTAGATCTTTCCTTTTTGTTCTCGATCTCTCTCTTCTCACAGGTTTATCTTTTGGGAGGAGTTATGGTTGGGCGGTGGGCTTGGGCTCGCTGGAAGGAGAGGAGCTCCAGAGGCCTCGGCGGGCATGCTTGAATCAATCGGTTAAAACCCTGCGTCCTGGATGAGAGGCAAGCGCTTTTTATTCTAGACGCCTTCTAGACAGACAGCGTAGCTGGCCACTACGATCATTCTCGTTTGATACGCGAGTCTTAAATCTACTTTGTGGTAATTAACATGGATCTTCCATATGAATACGAGGATCATCACCACCTTTCATCCACAAAGCTTACAATGTTTTACCAGTAAGTTTAACATTGGGAGTGGTAAAATCATCAAGACAAGACAATGTAGCTGTGGGGGAGTGCTGGAAAAATCCAATCGTGTCAGCTTTTTCTATGTTCGTTGCTCGTGATTGTCGACTTCGCACAGGTTCTTTCTATGTTTCGCGGATGATGATTGGACTGGGCTGGACGATTGACATCATAGATTGTTGCGAAGAACTTTTGGAGAGAAAAGATCTGCGAGACGACAAGATGACAAATGTAAGAGTGCCCAGCTTCGTACACAAGAAAAATCCAATAATGCGGTATCCTTTGCCAGGGACAACTCGAATCACGCTCCACTTTGGATCATCATATCGAGATTCTCACTCGTAACAGTTTGTTCCGCGAGGGATTCGAAGATTCCGACTTCTTTTGCAAAAACAATAGCTCTTAAGACAAACCGTAAGCACAAGGAAGATGATTCATACAATACAGGGATCTACAAAAACTCTACAAGAGAACCGAGTGACCAGAAGAACAAAACTCTTTGGTTTTCTAGCTATATGCCCAGTCGCAGTGTGTGCTCTTCTCTAAGACGGTCACTCCATCCATAGTGCCATTTAAGTAACGAAGGGGTCGATATTGCTACCACGATTGATCTCATTCGAGCAGCGGGACTGTGCCACCGGCAGCAATGATCTTCTCCTCCAGCTGAAAATCATGCAAGGAGCAGCGTCATTAGCTCTGCGTGAAACAAAAGTGTCCGAGGCACTTACTTGGAGCAGTGCCTGGAGTCTCGTCTTGACAAGGAAAAATTCGCGCTTTACTTGTTGCAGACATTGCCAGCAGCTGAAGAGACATAACAAGAGAAAAGCCATGCGTTAGAACGCGAGAGATCGAAGCTGTTCATTTAGCGTACCCGTCCCGGTTTTCCTCTTCGCAGTAGGCACGAAAAGCAACGCACAATGCCTTGACACGGGCAGCTCCAATGCTGACAAACATCCAACACGATAAGAACACTAGAACGAACAGACAATGCTGGTTTTTGGATCGAGAATACCTGGCACTACTCCCCTTGAACTGATGAACGTACGCATCGATCTGCTTGAAGTTCATCGGATTGTGCTCACTGTGGACGAAGGAAGAGATAAACGAGTTAGAGCGAAAGTACAAAACGTAAAGCAAGTGGAAGGGGGAAAAAACCACGCTAAGTTACTCCACCGTACAATGTCTTTGACAAATCATTGAGCAGCTTTTCCGAGTCCTCGAAGAACAAGGACACCACTTCGGCCACGAAGTCGGGATTTGTGGGATCCTGGAGCTGCTGGAGTTGCGAGAACTGATCGTCCAGGAGATTCTGCGAATGCGAATGAAAGAGCGAGCGTTACACAATTGTCGCTAGATTCTAGAGTGATTCCCAGCACCAAATTTTGCTAAAGGATCCCTCCTCCTACCTCCTGAAACGACGCTTGCATCAGCTCCACATACTGGCGCTGCAGCATTCCGGGATCCATCGCCAAGCCAAGAACGGGATTGAGAAGAATGCTAAGATTATCGATTCCTGTCGACGAGACGACGGCGATCCACGGCGCCAAGAGCAAGCGGACAAGCGCGAATTATATACCCCTGCGCATTCGATCGGAGGGAGAGAGATAGAAGAGAGAGAGCGCCAGGCAGCGAGACAGGTAATCAAAACCCTAGCGCCATAGCCATGCTTGGATTGATTCTCAGTAGGTGAAAAACAAAGAAGCAAGAGAGGAATTTACCACGCTGTAAATCACGTTACTACGGCGGGAGTTGAAAACTACAGTAGTATTTATATGGGGGGATTTGGCTCATACGGTAGAGGATTCGTCGCAATCGTCGGATTTGGTAGAATCGACTGATACCAGCTCGCCACGTATCCGGTTGAAATCCGTCTGATCTAAGAGATCGAATGCCGGCCGTTGATGTGAACATCTAACGACATCATGCAGAATATTGCGTGACAGGTCATAATGTGCGGATATTGTCATGACACGTGTCGGCTGTATAATGGCTCCTCAGTATCCAACGGCATGCGGTGATGGACGAATCCAGATCGTAGATCCCCGGCGATCCAACGGCGTTCGAAATGCGATTTTCTTACGATCATGATGACATCACCATTATCGGGATTTTCATCAAATCCATTATCTGGCGGCCGCCGGCGAATCTTCCGGCGAATCTTCATAATGCCGGCGCTAAATCATTACACACCTGTTACATTCCGCCGAGATTGTGCATCCAAGCCGTCCGATCTTCCAATTAAAATTGTCTAGCATTTATACAAGGCACAAGTAAAAGATCACAAGCTTCTTCACGTTTGATAGCGCTTCGTATCGCCGCGGCAGTCCACGCGAATAATTACAATCGCGATTTGCCACTCTTCACAGGATCGCTCTGGAGCACAGAAGATCGAATTGTTGGTCGAGAGTTAATACTACAATGCATAACGTAGAAAGGAAAAATAAAACTTACCAGTTTCCCACCCTGTGATGCTCGTGCTTGGAGGAATGGCGATGGCTGGAAGAACTTCCCATACGTTTCAGACCACTCCTTCAATTTTGATGCGATGTAGCCAGCTCCAATCATGTCAGCCCAGAAAACAAGCCCGCCCCTGCCAATCAAGTCGGAGATTAGTCGACGACCACTATCCCACTCAGAAAAACTTTAGTTTGGGACTCACTTATATGGAGGGAATCCCATCCCCAGCACTGTTGCGATGTCCAGATCGGAGGCTTTGACCACCACACCCTCCTCAAGCACACGGCAGGCTTCGTTCACGACGGGGAAGAGTATCATCTCAACAATCTCCTTGTCAGTGATGTTGATCGGCTGTTCAAGAACATGGCATCACCCATTAGACTTTCTCGCAAGAGACAAGGTACGGCTTTACCTTGCCACCCGGCATTAACTTTGCCAATTGTCTCGACTTGTCGACATACCCTTGCAGCTCTGGAGCCGGACGTGGCTTACGCTTTTCGTCGTATAGATAAAAGCCCTTGCGATTGCCTTCGCCTGGCAAGGAAAACGCTTCCTCAGTACAGACAGCTAAGAACAGAATAGAAAACATACCGAGCCGCTTGTCCGAAAACATCAGAGGGAATATCTGAGACACATAAACACGTTCTGGAAAAGAATTCAAGTATTGCTGTCCCACGGCAACAGCCACACCAAAACCGACGAAATCGGCCAGCCTACAGCAGCAGACGACGAGCATGAATAGTAAGAAAATAGTAGAGTTAAAGAAAAAGTACCTGAAAGGTCCCATAGGCATCCCAAACCCTGTTATAGCACGATCAATTCGATACGGATCAATTCCCAGGTCCAGTAGCATCGTTGCTGCCTGCGTATACGGGAAAAAGACCCGGTTGACGGCAAAACCGGTACAGTTGCCCACAACTACGGGAATTTTCTTTATTGTCTTGCCAAGGGTCATCAGATCAAGTATCACTTGTGGTGATGTTTTCTCCGTCCGCACTACCTCCAGTAGTGGCATCACATGCGCAGGACTGGGCCGAGCAAAAATATTAATCGGAAATTTGAAACACTCTAGCTCACGTACCTGAAGAAATGTGCACCAATAATCCGATCTTGTGCCTTAGTTTTCGAGCCAACGACATTCAGATCAATGGTTGACGTGTTGGAGGCCAGTACGCAACTTGGAGAGCAAAACTTTTCAAGGTCTGCAAAAATCTGTTGTTTCAAACCAACGTTCTCAACCACAGCCTACAGAACGCGGGTTAGAAACGGTAAAGATGGTTCGTCCAAACACGCACCTCAATCACCACATCAACGCTACCAAACTGTTCATAATCCAAAACACCTTCTACCAGTGAGATAGCCCTCTCGAATTTATCCTTGCTAAGCTTGCCTTTCTTCACACGGCTTTGCAGGTTGCCTGAAAAAGAACTTCAAAGCCATGAGTCATGCACGGTTGGGAAAATCTTGACTAACCTTTAACACGATTTAGACCTTGCTGCAAAAAATCGGAATTCACTTCCTTCAGAACAACTTTGATGTTGCTTAGTATAAGCGCTGTGACAATTCCTGAACCCATGAAACCTCCACCAATCACAGCCACTTTCTTTACAACTTTGGGTTTTAAGCCCACGTCTGTGACACCTGGGACCTGCCAAGCCAAAAAGGAAAGCTTGCAACAATGATCATTTGATCAATGCATGACGTGTACCTTTGAGGTTGACCTCTGAGCAAAAAATATATGCGTGAGGGACTTGGACGCATCTGAAAATAATGCTTCTTGAAATGCTTTCTCCTCCTGCGATAGAGAAAAACTTGTCAGGATGCAACAAAATGAAATCTCCGAAAACAGACCTTCAAAAGCCCCGCAAATCCGCCTTTTACAATACCTTCTTCAATCGCATCAAGACAGACGTGCGGGTGTGTTAGTTTTGGTGCGGTTTTCATTGCCTGAGCTCTTGCGAATTTCAAGATTTCCCGAGCTTCGCCCAGAGGTTCTAGTTTGTCAGTTTTGTGCAATGTAATGCACCATGGCCTGCGTCCTTCAGCGATATCAACAGCCACTTTGCGTGCTGTAGTAAGCACAGCCTCGGCAGGGACGAGTTCATCTACTAGTCCCAACTCCTTTCCCTCTTCCGACGTTACCGGTTTTGACAACTACAGCGAGATACCGAGTATCGGTTTACGACCTTCAAAAACATTAGTGCTACTCATACCAGCATCATTTCGATAGCCTTTGTCAAGCCAACAAGACGAGGAAGGCGTTGCGTCCCTAACATTGATCATTGAGGTTCACAAACTTAGGAATGTACTGGCAAGTTACCTCCAAAGCCCGGAATGATACCAAGTTGCAGCTCTGGTAGACCCAGCTGCGCTTTTGGAGCTGCCACTCTAGCGTGACAACACTGACAAAAGCTCGGTGATCAGCATCCCACAAGATAAATAACGAAAAACACTGTACCATGGCGAGTTCCAGTCCACCACCCAAAGCGAGTCCTTGAATCGCTGCCACGGATGGTTTCCCCGCCTCTAAACACCATAGACAACGTACAAGAATTGCGGCATTCAAATCAGCTTCAAGCAAACAAGATACCTTCGATGAGCTTAGTCATGAGATCCACAGAGATGCGTCCCAAAGCCGACATATTTCCTGTCGGATCGGAAACGTTAGACAATATTTCCCCGCAAAATGGTAAACTAGTGAGGTCACGTACCACTCGCTTGAACATCTTGGATCGTGGAGATATCAAAACCTCCAGAGAACTTTCCATTTGCACCTACAAGATCATCAAAATTCTAACTTGAAGCTCCTTCGTATACATAGAAAAAAACAAAGAATGAATTACCAGTGACAACGATTGCTTTGACATCCTCCCTGGAGCAAGCTTCCTCGTACTTTTCCTTCAAACCCCACAACACTGGATGGAAGAACAAAGATAGTCATGAATCGCAATAGGCAGCTAGAAAGTTTCGACAAAATTCTACCTGGCATCGCGAGCGCATTGACGGGAGGATTCCGGAGCGTGATCACAGCAACCTTATCCGCCCCAACCTCGAGGGAGACGCCAGGCCGTGCCATATCGCTGGATCGGGATAGAATGCCGCCTGTCGCGCAGGATTGGCAGCTCGATCGCTGGAAGAACCCTAGCTCCCGGCCAAGGATCGCGCCAAAAGAAATGTAGAGCTTGCTTAACCCTACAAGTGTATTGCATAAATGGAGCACCGCCGCAGATGCGAATAATAGGCGTGTGTCAGATAAGAAGGCCCCAAAATAGCAACCATGGCCGTGATGAGCCTCGAACCAAGGCACGTTTTCAAGAGTGATGCAAACTTACTGCATGGAAAACAATGAGACAACTTCACACGTTATAAGATTGACATGAAAAGATTTGATAGTTATCCATGAATCTATCACACTATTTAAAAACAATGCAATGTACAAAGACAGATGAAATAATTTGATACATGGTCTTCATGAATAGAAAAGTATAAGATTCTGTCACACTATCCTCAAACTTCCTTTTGCTTTACGAGGATTTCTATGAAGCACGAACTTTACTTTGCCTCCACTGCTTCGTCTTGCGGTGGAGGATTTTCTTGTGGAGCGGCAGCTGCTTCTTCGGCCGGTGGCGATTGTTCTTGAGGTGGAGGTGGCTGTTCTTCCGCCGCTAGTTGAGGCTCTGGCTCTGGTGGCGGCGGCGGTGGGATCAAGCTTACCGTCTTGCCGGTCTTTTTAATCTTCTTGAGAACGAGCTCCGGAGTGATATCGCCGGTGATGATCACCTTCTTCTCCTGGAAACTTATCTTATAAGAAGTTACTCCTGGATAATAGAGACAGGAAGATACGTGACGCGTTACGAGAGCTCCTGTTTTCTTACCATCGAGTTTGCTGATTGCCTTCTTCACGGCTCTGAAGCACCCTTTGCAATGCATTGACACCATCAACTCCACAGTCACAGCCTGCGAGTGGCATTCATTGTTACAAAAACAAAGCAAAATTAAAAACTCAGACTACCTCTCCCATTTTTGACTTTGCCTTTGCTGGAAGGAGGAGTTGAATTGAAGTTCCTCAGGGATCGATAGCACAGAACAGGCCACCTGGTTTATAAAAGAAAGGAAAACGAAAAAGAGAAAACTACTATCCAGAGCCATGGCTTTTCTCCTTTCCCCCTTTTTGACGAACTGGTGAGGAAAAAAACAACTCTCACCACATTATTTGGAGCGAGTGGAAGTGGTCGGCGCTGCCGTATCATTGCCGGACGCATCTATCAAGTTGGACATGGCAAACAACCTTCGTACAAGATTCCAACACATCCAAGTTTCGACAATATTACCCGAAAAGATATAGGAACCCGTCGATCCTGCTGCAGCTGTCAACTCGTTTCTCACAAAAAGGGAAAAAATCAACAAACATCTTCGCGACAAGAACCTGCTATGTTTCTCAATATTGACTTTCATGTAAGTACGCGCAGCCAAAATCGTGCTACGCTAAAAGGCTTTTCCGTCCCTGCCAAAAACCACGGCTTTCGAAAAATTGAAACGTCAAGCTTTCAAAGTACCTTCTACGAGTGCTGTGCGGGTAAGAACTTTACACGTAATTCCGAGCTCTATGCGTGGTAAATATATAGCTCCTGCGTATGGAGTTTACCATGGCCCGTAGCTGAGTTCTCAGGCTTTGAACGAGTCGAGAATTGTTCTCAGCACGCTCTCCGATTTGGACCACTGTGATTCGCTTGCGCTCACTACAAAGAGCAGGACCACATTACCTTTAGACGTCGCAGCTGCCAAGTTGTGAGCGCCAGTCTTTGCGTATGGCGTCTCAAGCGTGTAGCAATAGAACTGTGAAAGAAAGCTCGTAAGTGAGGAAAGAACCAAACGAAAGCTCACTTTTTCTCCGTCTCGATCCTTCACGGAGGTTTCAATCACTTCATCGGGGTCGTAGCTGTTCCCGGTGACAAAAGGTCCCAACGCAGCTATGAGCTTCTCGGGACTGCCAATCTCGTCGATCCTGGCGTTTGGTTTGTTTGTAAGCCGGACCATGGGAGCTGCCACCACTTGCAGGCTCCCTTCCTTGTCATCCTCAAACTTGACTTCCACCCAAGGCTCGGCACACTTTGGCTGGCAATAATTCCCAGACAAGATGTTTGCGATTCGCTGCTGCTTCCAAGTCGATGGGAGAATAAACTCGTAAGGCTGAACGTTCCCTGAGATGGAAGAAAAAAAAACGTTTTAGCGCTCAGGAATCGAAAACAAAGATAGAAACACAAGAGAGAGGAAGATTTGAAGGTCTTTCTTAGGCTCACAGTAGAACAAGACCATCGTTTCACTTACCGGCGCGAAGAGCTGGAGTATCTCTGCCAGAAGCCTTGAATTGCACGAATCCTGGAAGGGACTCGACCGGGGGAAGATAGGCTCCCACTTCGACCTCTCTGGCCAGTGCAGACGTTTGATTCACAGCCAGACCCATCGCCAGCGTGAACCCGACCAACGCGACGCTCTTCCTCCGCGAAATCACGGTCGCCGCCCTTGGATTCTCCTGCGCGTCACATCTATAGCGACGGTTTCTTTTTCCACTCCAGAGCAAGCATGCCGCCTTACCTGATGGCGCTGCTGCTAGCATTGAGCTGCAACGGCGTAGCTCCCAGCAGCGTCCACGGCACCACGGCCCTCATCGCCATCGCCAAACTAGAACCCTAAATGCCCGAGCAAACAAATTTAAAATTTAAATCTGTTTCGCGCTCAAAAGCAGTGTCAAGCCTCTACTTTGCTTGGCATTGGAAGCATTTGGGAAAGGGACCAAAGCTACGGATGTTCTCGAGAAGAGTGGAGATCGCGGACCATCCTCCAAGTCCCACACCCGCGATCAAAACCCATAACACAACAGCGAGATTGAGGCAGTAAATTCCGACCCAGCTCGGCATAAAAAATGGAGGCTGCTCGATCGCGTCCTACAAAACCAAACCTTTCGAGTCATATCGATCGAGCACAAGAACACCCACACACACACACAGAAAAAATGATAAAGATAGAGCATTACCTTCCTCGCGGTGAATGTTTTGTGGAGGACCATATGAGCCAAGCACGGGATAATGTAGACGCTGAAGCTCGTGAAGATCGATCCAACAATGGAGTCGATGAGCCCCGTGAAGGGTGTCATGATCGCGAAGAACCAGACGAGCAGTACCACTGGAATCCGGGACACCGCCTTGAGCCAGTAGTTTTTGGACCTGTGGATTCCCAGCAGCTTCTCCCACTTCATAAAAATGGGGAGCGCCATGAAGCCGAACTGCATGAACTGGAGGTTTGTGCGAGCTTAGAGATCCATACCAAAGTTTTGGAAAATTTTACCTGGTGGAAGAGCATCAAAACGTTTGCTGCAACGTGAAACTTGGAGCGTGGAAGAACCGCGAGTGCGTAAGTGTTGTGGAGCATCGTGTCTCCAAAGGCCCAGTACATTGCGATGGCCGATGGCAGCGTGAGAGTTAGGATGTAGAGAATGCAGTAGAAGTAGACCACCTTAAAGTTCTTTGGCTCTCGCATCGCGTCGGCTATCTCACTGCTCGATATCGATATTAATCAGTGTTTTGAGAGACTAAAAAATGATAAAGCGTCTGCTACTACTTACATGGTAATCGCGTGTCCCCCGAATGCGTAGAGCATGTTGGTCGCTCCAACAAAGTACTGTACTGTGCTGGGTGGAGCCGTGTGCTTGACATCGGGTTCCTGTTTAGAAGCTTACCGTGATTGTTCTCAAAGTTAGCAAAGAGAACACATAAGCGAAAGGGCCGAGTGACTCACTGGACCGAGGAGTATGCTAGCGATTGTCAAGTACCAAGCAGTGTAGGTGGTCGCCACAATCCCGATGGAGGACCAAATTCTGTAGTGCTGCGCCCGTGGTATCAAAACCATTGTTAAAAAGCAGCCTGTGAGGACAAGCGTCCAAGTTCTTTTGTTGAGATGATGGTTGAGTGAATGTGTGAGACTGTTCATAAGACAAAATCGTATTTTTTTGTCAGAAAAAAAGAAGAAAATGGAGTTAATTTACCTTGAACATCCTACAAGGAAGATAACGCAGGTGAGAAACTGATCACCGGTGTTGAAGACTAAGCCCGCTATTTTCCACCGCCATCCCAAGAGTCCGTCCATCACCTCGTACCACTGTAAGGAATCAAGGAAGAGGATGAGCACTAGAAAACAAAAGAATGGCGCAAGGCGAAAACCTCAACGAAGCATTGCCTGGATGCTCCGATATTCGTGGCAATCCATGGGGTTTTTTTGCTTCGCTCGTCGCTCCTTGTAAATTATGTAGAGACTGGTTGTCATGTAACACGACCAGCAGCCCATGGCAGCATAAAGTAGCTGGTATAAAATCCCCGAGACGAGTCCCAATTGCGCGAAAGAGTAGGGGAATGTGAGAAGAACCTGGGAAATCTGCAAGGAACCACAAACGAACAAATTTAGTACCAGAGATTCGCCACAGAAACAAGACACAGTACCTGGAACGAAGAGGCATTGAGCCAAGCATCGAAGGTAGAAGTGCCGTCCAAGAACAAGTAGTAGAGCCATGCTGTCCTAGAGTTTGAGTTTGCCATGACTCCACGCCCTCCACGACAACAATGCTTATAAGGATCTGTAGACGATTTCCAGTTTATGAGTCTGACTTCATTGAAAAATCAATTCCAATCTTCGTGGCAGTCCCAAACAACAGTAGCAGAAGAAAGAGTCAAGTTTTCCTTGCCTAATTCATTCTGTCTGCAGGAAGAGATTTAACTTAATGCCAGCAGTTCTATTCCGTCCAAAGAAGTTGTAGGTGGAAACAACTGTAACAAGATAAACAAGGGATTCGTCAGAATTTCCGCGAACGAGTAACCGAGAACATTCATGAAAATATATACCCTCTGGGAGTCTATAGCCGACAGGGTCTTCCCGTAAGTTCGCTCGTCAAAGAGAATGCGAAAGATCTGCAAGAGTTATTTTTGCCTTCAAACGCCGAATCATCGATAGCTACAGGGACTTACAAGTGATGCGACATCGGTCCTGGATATGAGCCCCACCACGCTTGAATTCTCTGTCAAGATTCCATTTCCCGATGGCGCCTGTTGTGAATAGCGTGTAAGGAACAGTTTGACGGAAAAACTCTCCTCACATCGTTGTTCAAGCCTCCAGGGCGAATGATGGTGTAGTCCAAGCCACTGGATTTCAGAGCTTCCTCGGCAACGGTTTTTGCTTTTAGGACTTCACCCAACGTTGCTAAAGTCTGAAATGCAGAAAAGTGTAAAAGAAATCAGCTTCTTCAGTTTCGTTGACAGGAAAAATTCCTACCTTTGCATCGATGGCTTTTTCACTATCTCCAGCTCCAATGCTGGATACCTGGAATGGAAACAAGATGTTTTGTGCCATTGCTACGCATAAAACTTCCCTACCATGATAAACCGCTTAACATTTGCTTTCTTTGCAGCATTGATCACATTAATTGTGCCATCCTATCAGATTTACCGTATCACAGAAACATGCTTAGAATTCGTAGAGTTATATACCTGGTCCACCTTCACGTTTTGAGTTCCTCCACCTACAAGAGTTGTGAAATAAAAGAGTCAAAGCCTGAGAATGTTTGCTTCTTTTTTTACCAACAGTGCAGACAACCGCATCAAACGAGTTTGATCTGAAGGCCTTCTCCACTGTCAATGGTTCAAGAACATCGCCAATAGCCAACATTGATCCCAGCCCCTCCACTTCTTTGCGGAACTTTTCACTTCTTTGGAAGACGGTCACCCATGAACCGGCTTTGGCAAGATCTCTCGTAACGGCCATTCCAACACCACCCCCGCCGACAACCAGGACTGCCAGAATTGAAAACGTCAGTAACATCCTTCTCAAGATTGTCACAAACAAACCAGTAGCATTGTCAATGGTAGGCTTTTCTGCTACTTGAGCTCTAACTCGCACACAGGGTGTCCTTCGTTTGGCAATCACATTCTTCTGTCCACTTGCACAACTTCGTCTTGCAAGTGAAAACCTTCGGCTTTCTACAGCTGCATTGCCTTGTTGATGAGAGGAAAAAAAATAAAAATAAAATCTACAAAGAATACATACCAGTGACCCGAGCAGAAACCAAATTGCGCCTCTCCAAACAGGCGTTTGCACCTGCGTTGCAAGGGAGAGCACTGGAGCAAATGACGCAAGATATAAAACCAAAGAGAACCTTTGTTCACAATACAGGGCAGCGAAGGCGATGAGGTACACGCCATAGCTGCATATGAACCCTAAGCACCAAGTGAAATTACCGAGATTAGATTCATGAGTCCTCTTCGCACGCATACAGTGTTGGAAAAACTTTTTTTTTGTTTTGTTGCTGCAGGAAGAAACGACCAACGTTAGTGTAGAACGCCAACCATCAAGTTTTTGGATCCTCTTCAAGCTTCTGAGTTATAGCTGTTGGGCCTATCAATCCATATCCACCTTCCTTGCGCTTGTACAAAACATTTATCTCGACTGAAACACATGGTAAGAAGAAAGGAGGATTAAAAAATGGCGGTAACTTACGAGTTTTAACATTCCGGAATGCGTAGAAATCATGCCCAATGTTCTTCATTTCCTCTAGTGCATCCTCCGGCCGCATAGGAAGCATGTCAAAAAACTTCTCTCTAATAATCTGTGAAGTTCCTCATAAGAAAAAAAACCAACATGTTCTTTGCTTACCTCCGTTTCTACTGCCAGGTCTTCGGCCTCTGCGACAACATCTTCAATCTCCTCGTCGTTGGTTGGAAAAGGAGGAATCGGTGCTTTGTCTAGGGATTGAATTCGACCTCTGGAACGGAGGCGTCCATGAAGTCCTAGTTTATCTTTGAGCTTGAGAAGTTTCTTCCCAAGAAGCCGTGATGCATTATCAACGCAAGCGTGCATGTTTCCACCATCTTCTTCCGCACGAAGAACTCCATGCTTCTTCGTGAACAATGTAGCCTAATAACAAAAGCAAAGCCTTCACGAAGGCCTTGAAAGAAAAAAAAAAGAAGGAAGAACTCAAACCTCACAGCGATAGAGTCTTGGACCACTCTCGGCTTCTCCACGCATTGACAAGCGAACATCCACTTCTCTCACCATATGGCTCCTCTCGATTATCGCGTCGGCCATTTTGTCCTCCACATAGCTCTTGATATCATCAGGAATCTAGAGAGGGCAAAGGATCACTATCGATCGATCCATCTCAATCTTGGAGGACCTACCGTAATATGTCGCCCCTGGAGGAGGAGAGGAATCGAGGCAAGCTCCGTGCTCCAGGCCTCGGTCGACATTCTTGCCCCAGGATTCCACCGCGACTGGAGCTTGATTCGTTGCAAAGCGGCGGCTGCGACAGCAATTCTCGGAAGAGCGCCGCATCCGTGTCGCACCATCCCGATCATCGCTGCGCTGTGGAGAAGAATCATCGCCTAGGGTTCTAGCCAAGTGGCATTCCTCTGCCCTTCTAGGGTTTACATTTCCAAGGCATTTCTAGGGTTCATGCGCGCGAGCGAGGTAATCGATCAGCTCGCCGAGTAAGAATGCTGCGCGCGACATGGAATTGGATCGTAGGACTGGTTTGCGTGGTTTTGGTTGCGGTCATCTGGATCGCAGCTAGCTTCGTGGTGCAATCGGTCGTAGATAGCGGGATTTCGCCCTTTCTCATCGCCTACATTTGCAACAGCTTGTTTATGGTTTACATACCGATCGTGGAATTGGTGTGGTGGATCAAGCGACGCTACGCGGCGCGCAAGACGAGAGAGGCGGCCTCTAAGAACCATGTTCTTACAAACGCTGAGAAGGCCAAGCTTTTGGAAACTGGTGCTGGATCCGACATTGAAATTGGTGGATCTTTGGCAGACGCAAGGAACATGCAAGCTTCCAGTGCCGAGATCAGTGAAGTTGACCCGGAGGTTGTGGCAGACGCAAGGAACAAGCAAGCTTCCAGTGAACTTGACTCGGAGGTTGTGTCTGACGAAGACGAGAGCTCCAGTTCCACAGCGAGGAGATTATTGTCGAGAAGGGAAACCGCGAAGATCAGTGCTCTCATCTGTCCGGTGTGGTTCTTCGCGCAGTTTACGTTCAATCTTTCCTTGAAGTACACGACAGTCACTGTAAGTTACACTTTCTTTGCTCTTAAAACCTCAAGTTTTGATTTTTCTTCTTTTGATCGCAGTCGAACACCGTTCTAAGCAGTACTTCGACTTTGTTCACGTTTATAGCGTCCGTGATGTTTCTCAACGAGACTTTCACGGTGTTGAAAATCGTGAGCGTCGTTCTTTGCATGGCTGGTAGCGCCGTTGTTGCTTTTGGAGACTCCGAGAGCCTGCAAAAAGACTCAGCGCCTCATCCAGTGGTGGGAGATATGGTCTGCCTTTTGTCCGCGATGCTATACGCCTGCTATACGAGCTTGATACGTAAGAAGTTCCCGGACGAGAACTCCTCCGCGGAAGAAGTTAGCACGGCTCTCTTCCTGGGGTATCTTGGTTTGTTTAACGCTCTCATCTTTTGTCCGGTCGTGGTGCTTCTACACTTCACAGGATTGGAGCCGATTCACAGGCTCACGGCCACACAATGGGAACTCATCGTCGGCAAAGGTCGAGTTTCTAGTGTGCTTTTTTCTTCTCTGACGCGTGTTTTTGTCTCCAGGGATGCTGGACAACGTCCTGAGCGACTACTTATGGGCCGAAGCAGTGCTTCTCACGTCCACAACAGTGGCAACGGCTGGACTCACACTCCAAGTGCCAATAGCAGCGGTGGTCGATTCTCTTCGTGGACATGCTCCAGGAACTGTCAACGTTGTTGGCGCTGTGGCTGTGCTGGCGGGATTCTTTGGCATCAACCAGCCGGAGAATTGCTGCTCCACTCAAAGAAAAGCTGCGCCAGGAGAAGAAGCTCGTTTCTCTAGCGAGCAACACTTGGATGATCCTGTTGCTGCCACCAGCAAGGATGGAGTACTCCTGGACCCTGGTAGTACTTGAAAAAAGGTACACGAGGCTCTTTCTTTAAAGTTTTCTTTGGCGCTGCCGCTCGCGCAGAGTGAGTTACTTATCGACACTAAACGAGGGGCATGACGTAAGAGCTTGGCATCCTAAAGCTTTTCTTCTAATAAACTACAATGCAGTGATCCTCGTAATCGGAAAGATCAAGATCATGGAAACGAAGAAAGGATCGAGCTACTGGTAGGGGTGTGGACTTTATATCTCCCAAGGCATTGACTTTTCAGCTCGTCGAATGAAAAGCATCGATCGACTGAAAAGAAAAATCGACAAGTATGTGACTATCAATCACAGGCAGGCGTGAAGCGTATATACGGTCACATCCGAGTGTTTATACAACCACTATTTCCACTACTTCCTTCCATCCAATCCAATCCATCAAAAATGCCAATCCAACGAAAGGAACTTTTGCTTTACCCTAGGGCTAGCAACGAATAAACGAAGGAAGGAAAGCATGCATGGGGGCCACTCTCAATCAAGCATTTATACGCCATCGTTACCGTACTTGTCGTCGTCGTCGTCGTCGCGCGCCAGCAGTTTAACGGCCGTCACTCTTTTGACTAAATGTAACGTTCGTACGCGATATCTTTTGTACGGAAATGTGCCAAGCGCCGGCCGGCAAC